GTTCAGAATTAATTCAACCGAATTAGACTTTTTTTTCTTTTTAATTTTCTAAACTCTTTCACCCAATGTTCTGTCCAGCTACCAAAGAGACGTCCTTCGTCCAGGCCATCAGTGCAGCGGGGGTGATGTACACGCTGACCAGAAACTGCAGTCTGGGAAATCTGGACAACTGTGGCTGTGACGTGTCAAAGAACGGAAGGATCGGTGAGGAAATCAGCAGTAAACCAGTCATTCTCAACCTGTTCTACCAAAGTGCTTCACAACTATTTTAGTAAAAAAAAAGGAAAGGGATGTTGATAAATCAACACCATGTCATCATTTACTATTATTTACTGCAAAATGTAAAGAAACTAATTTAAAAATATAAGGGCATTAAAAGAAAACAAAAATATAAGTTTTTACTAATTTTCTGTGAATTTTCGAGACGAACTTTTACCAAACTACAGATGTATTTATCTCCTAAAATTAATTAATAAAAATTAACATATAGTTGGTAATGTTTTTTTAATTGTCATTTCCATGGTTATTTTGTGTTGACAGGAGGTCCCGGCTGGTTGTGGGGGGGCTGCAGTGATAACATGGAGTTCGGGGAGAAGATCTCCAGGCAGTATGTTGATGCTCAGGAAACGGGTCAGGACTCCAGGGCTGCTGTCAATCTGCACAACAACGAGGTCGGCCGTTTGGTAGGTTTTGGTTTTTTAACCATTCGTCTGATACTGAGAGTTAACTGGGCTCGTGGTCGTGAACAGAGTAACTGACCGGGTGAGATTTCCTGATTTTTCTACAGGCTGTGAAGGCAACAGTGAAGCGCATCTGCAGATGCCACGGCATGTCAGAGAGCTGCAGCGTCCAGACCTGCTGGACACAGCTGACAGACTTCAGGGAGATCGGGAACTACCTGAAGGTCAAACACCAACAGGCCCTGAAGCTGGACATCGACAAACGGCGCATGAGAGCGGGAAACAGCGCCGACAGTCGGGGAGCCTTCGCGGAGGCGCTCGGCAGCATCCCGAACACCGAGCTGATCTACCTGGAGGACTCTCCGGACTACTGTCGGAGGAACGTCAGCATGGGCCTCTACGGCACCGAGGGCCGGGAGTGCCTGCAGCACGGGGAGGGTCTGAGCCAGTGGGAGAAGAGGAGCTGCCGCAGACTGTGCCACGAATGCGGCCTGAGAGTGGAGGAGAGACGCACCGAGGTGGTCAGCAGCTGCAACTGCAAGTTCCACTGGTGCTGCAGAGTCAACTGTGAAGACTGCCCCCAGGTGATAGTCAAACATGTGTGCGCCAGGAGGGACGCCCGAGACGGACACGGCTTCAGAAGAAGAGCCCGGGGGCCGAAGCAGTGACACACACACACACACACACACACACGTGTGAGGGTTTATATAAATGTTTTACTCTGTCTACAAACTGAGTGGCAGTATGCCCCCTGGTGGGGGCATCTCTTTCCGCCTCCATCTCTTGAACTTGTTGAATGTCTGTTTGCACTTTCTCCTCGTCTACATGTACGAGCGTTATTTTTATATTTATGATGAAGAAAAATAAAAACCATAATAATGATAAAACAAACACTGCTCCATGTCGCCTTCCATGACGTCATTTACCCCATACTCCCCAGTTACCCGTAGCTCGGCTCCCAGAGGAGGAATTAGAAGAGACTGATAGAGGATTACTAGTACAACACGGTACTTTTCACACGCGGCCGAGGTGTTGATCCGCGGCTCCTTTGATGTCGGTGTGTATTGGACTTCACAGACACATTAAGGACGGATTTCCACCAGATATTCGACCTGATAACACAGACACTCAGGCCACAGGAAACAATGGGAAATGCATCCTAATGAACCAGGGCGGCAGAGTGGGGAAGACTTTGACTGTGACACGGTGTCACAGTGAAATGGGACCGCTGTTCAGTCCAGTTAGCTTCTCACGGTCCACACAGAAAACAAAATCCATTTAAAGTCGGATCGTTTGCAAATCATGAAGCTCACGAGGAGCCGCGGCCCCGCCCACCGCCCTGAAGAGCGGACTTCCACCTCACCCCCCCTCCTCCGCCCCCTCTCCCCCATTACCTTCAGAATCTTCAGAATCCTCCTCTCAGCTGGACGTGTCATAAATCAGTCAGCCTCAGCCTCATGGGTGATGGCATGAATATTGCCTCCATCAGGGGGTCCACGCCCTGGGGGTGAGAGAGATGGGTGAGAGAGATGGGGTGTCAACGTGGAAGGTGGTAGAGAAGTGTTTACACCAGTGATGACGTAGAAACAGAAATACTTTCCTTTATTGTTATTTAATCATCTCAGAGTAACGTTACCGATGGGTCTGCGACCCCCTAGGGACTGAGCTAGGTACTGCAGGGGTGCTATTAGATTTTTGAATCTGTAAAATAAAACCACTAATAAATACATGTATATATTATTAAATGGCTTTTTTATTGAATTCAGAATAACAGGGTTAGGGTTTATAGATACATTTTACACAATGCTAAGTGTGTGTGGACTTCAGGTTTGAAAACATTGAATTTTGTGCCTGTTTTTTCAGACACTTATTTTCTCAGTATCCAAGTAAACAGTATTTACCACTGAACAGGTGGAAATACTTCTGTTTCAGAGACAACAGGTCTGTAAACTGGTACAAACTGAGGAAAAACTCCTTAAACTGTAGAAGACAACACCAATGCTTCTCCTCATCCTCTCCATCTGTCTGGTTCCCACGTCATCCTGCTGTGTATTAATGAAGGCTTCGCCCCACTGAGGGCCCCTCGTGCCCCCCCCATCACTCACCCACGTTGGCCCCACAGGAGGGAAGTGATGTGACCGTCTCAGGTCTGATGTTGTCCTGTTCATGGTTCATAATGAGACCATGACAGGAAGTTAATGACAGGACATTGACTGATGAAGTCTCTCAGTCTTCAAACCCAGAGCTGCTCCACGTTAACAGAGAATTAAAGACACGTCTGACCGTCAATACTGAAGGTGAAAAATGGTCAAAATATAAACGTCGTGTTCTCATTGTGTTTTTTCGAGAGACGACGACAATGTTTAGCAGAAATGCCATTTGTAATTTAATGACGTTGACTAGCCCCCTGCTCCTCCTCTGGGGCAGTTGTCTTGTGTCTTCCATATGTTTCCCAAACAGGAGGGAACTGGGAAACTGTGGGAGGGTGGGTGATCTCCTACATGGACCCCCCCTGGAGGACTCATACATTCACTCAGACTTGCCTGGGGGTCTGGAGGGATCTGAGGGTGATTGATCATCCCATTGTCCACATCTGCCCTCCTCTCTCACCTGGGTGTGAGATGCCGGGGAGGCCGACAGGCTGCGGCAGAGAGGACGGGGCTGCCAGCAGCTATCAGTGACATCACGCCGCCGAGACGAACCAGGAGCAGACGATTTGTATTCATGAAGGAGGAAACCAACAACCTCTGTGTTTAGAGAGACATTCAGTGACACGTGTGTGTGTGTGTGTGTGTGCACCACACGTTCAGTCTAAATTAGCAGTAAAACTCTCCTCTCTGAATCAAAGGTTGTAGTGTAACCACATGTTCTCAGAGAGTTGAGACTTTCATCTGTTGAAGGTGTGAGTCCAGACCAGAGGACAGCAGCGTGCCGGTCCTGCGGTCCTTTGGTCTGAACTCACACACGTCTGTGCTGTGGCTCAGCAACAAACAACTGAAAAACACCAGACCAGTGAAGTCACCTCACTGCTGGACTAACCATCAGAGCCAGAACCACCACACTGATGCTGCACACAGTTACAGACAACAACATGAAGTTAGCACCAAAGATTTACAGCCAAAACTGTGTCAACATTGACTTCTACAAAGTGAATCATTTCAATTCACATTCACAGTTATTTGTTGAAAACTCCACTCAACTTCATTTCAAACATACTTCCTTAACAAGGATTCTCACTGAAAAAGAACAAAATTAAAATCAGAAATTCTTTCTTACTGTGGCACAATTTAAAAAAATATATAAAATAAAAACATATATAAATATGACCTGCTGCACATCTCACTTTAGGAATAACTGCTACTTATGAATTGTTTTAAATATCTCGACTACATTTGTCATGTACTTAAAAAATCCTGTTAACAAACAACCAACAACAACGACATAAACTTCATCACCAACAAATACCTGTACTTCCTAGACCTACAGAACCTGTAGTACTATTAAAGTACTATTTACCCACAGATTTCAATTGTAATAATAAACAATGTGTGAAAAATGCCGCTACACCACCGCATTAGTGATACCCACAATGTCCACCAGAGGGCAGTGCTGTAAGGTTTACGGCTCATCCACCAACAAGAGCCTCCAAACAGCCTGAAAACGAATTCAAACCGTTTTTCTTTTTCTCACTCATCTACAAAGTTGAATTCAGTAAATTGTTGTGTAATCTTAATAAAAGTAAAGACAAATCAATAATTAACAAACTTCGGTTTAAACTACAACATACAGTATGACCGTGGTTAGAACACAAACAGCAGTGTCATAAAACAGACGTCCTCAGCATTTTCATGTAGAACAAGTAAACAACAGATGGCGCTGTTGTCAAAAGAACAACGGAGGCCGTTCATCTGCTCTGAGAAACGCATTTTATTCTCTGGTCTTGGTATTTGAAAGTACTAGTTTTACATTTAGAACTATTTGAAAGAATATCTTAAAGGAACCATGTGTAGAAACGGACAAACGGTTTCCTGGTCCATCCAGGTATTAAAGCCAAGCTGGTGAGGGGGGGGGTCAGTAGTTCTGCCCTTGACCTTCTGCCCTTCTCTCAGACACACCCTGAAGTAGAACCACAAAGATGTACTGTTGCTGATTTTGTTCCTAGCATGGGGGAATTAATGGCGAGGGAAAACTATGCTGGACAACCACCCCCCACCCCCCTCACCGCCCNTCACAACATAAAAATCCATAGTCAAGGAGACTCAGGGGACACAGAACCACAGTAAACCAATAACAATGTCACACGTGTGTTTGTGTTGGTAAAAATAGAAATAGTAAAGAGTGTGTGTGTGTTATTGTGTTTGTTTGTGTGTGTGTTTTCATCAAGTAAATAGTTGAACTTCACAAAGCGACCCTCGGGGAGGGCTTGGTGCTGACTTGAGTTTTGCTCTGCATCATTAGGCTGCTGTGCTGCAGAGTGTCCCTGGGGTGAAGGAGATGATGGTAACACACACACACACACACACTGCTGCTCACTGATGCTGCAGCCCAGACCAGACCCCCGGAGCGGAGAGCCCATGTTGTCGACCACATCCTGCAGGTCTCTGACCCACTGGTCTGGTGCAGTTTTACAGCAGAGCATCCTACTGTCGTCAGAATTATACGTCACTGTCTGGAGCCATGTATTGATTATTGTATGTGTTTCTGTCTTTACAGGCAAAACAACGGAACTGAAGATGTTTTCAGTCCAGATAGTTGGTGAGAACTGCACCAGGAAAAGAAGACAGGTGAAGCTGCAAGTCCTGAGGACTGACTTCAGATGAGTTCAAGTGTCTGGGGTAAAAAACAAAACAAAACCTGAACTCATGGTCAGTGTAAGGATTGAGGAAGACCTTGTTAACACGGTGGGTATTTTCTGCTGGCTGTTACCTTCCTTTGTTGTGAAGGTGGTCCAGCTCTGTGTTGATGCTTCACTTCCTTCATTTTCTGAAGCAGCAGATTTTCAGGTGAGCCAATGCAGAGGATCAGGTCACACTGCCTCAGCTGAGTCTCCACTGCAGACAAGGGGAAAAGTCATTACTACAAATACAACCAAACCCTTTCCAGGTTCAGAGTTTGAAGTAAGTTCACAGGTATAACTGAGAGTAAAAATATTAGCTCTGTGGCCTGAGGCAGAGAAACAGGAGTTGTAACATCATTCCTCAACAAGCATAAAGAAAACCCAGTTGTTGGAGTCCTTCAGTTATTCCTATCTAACCATCAGTGTGAAGTGACAGACATCATGTACAATCATGTAGCTCTTCATCACTGACATCCACAGGCAGGGTGGAGGTGAGCAACAGTTGCCCTCAGAGTAATTCCCTCTTAGCGGTTCCATTTAAATATAACATATCAGCCACAGCATGTATTTGCATGTTAGTAAATCATCAGGAACACCTTCACTCACGTGCCAGTTGGTTCATGCTGTTGGACAAGGACTCCAGCTGTTCCAGTACGTCTTCAAAACCCATGTTAGCAACAGACATTTCCTTGTCTGTGATGTTTTCCATCTGCAAGAAATAAATGCAAAAAAAAGCTTTTAACAAAACAAATAAACAACGGTTACACATTTAAACCCAATCACCTGACAGAGTTTAAGCAATTAACCATGTCAATTAAAAAAAACACATTCCTTGTTCACCAGTTTATTTTCTCATATGAACAAAGAAAATACATTTCACCACATTAGAACCTAAAATCACAAAAACATCAGCAAATACAAATGAACAATTTGCGGAACTCAATCATTGGGTTTTTACGTTGAACCTTAAAGTCAGAACTGACTGCCATGTTAACACCACGCTGCTTTATCAACTTCACTTCTTTTCTGCCCAGTGACGCAGTAGAAGTTGTAGTCATCAGATGTGAGTGAGTGGAGCAGCAGCAGCAGCAGCAGAGTCAGGACATTTACTGGTCTTCTGGTCACGGTCTCCGTACACAGCAGCTCTGCACCGGCTCTGGGCTTCCTCCAGGTTCTGCATGAGAATTCTAGGCTCAGGATTGGTCCGCTGCGCTGCCATGTCATAGGCCATCCATGTCAGCTTGACTATGGAAGATGAGGTCATTTATAGTTGACTCAACTTTAACTCAAGTTAAAGTTACAAAGATTTTTATAGAAATTATTAATGTAAGTAAAATACACAAAATGAAATAAAATAATGTTCCACTTCTCATTATAACACTAATATTTTTAAATTATCTTTATGTTCACTATTGACGACAGACATTATATACACCAATATTATATACAATAATTAATATATTTTACTGGTCCTCAAGGTTTTACACCAAGGGTGAGATTTTTATACAGCATGTGTACAAAGAGTTAAACGGTAAAAATGTCCCCAACATTTCACATTTATGAAGTTTACACTGCCACAAACTTTGTTATAGTTATGGAATTAACTTGTTTCGTAAAAATAAAATTAAATAAATAAAAATACAGATATTAATTGTATTAGTAAAGACAGTAACCTACGGTGTTTGTGTGCGCCTACGTACGTGTAATATTTTCGGTAATTTCGATCATTTTCTCTAAATCGTTGTTCAGGTTCAGTGTTTCGTCCTTATTTCCACAGCAGCGCAGAGGAGACGACGGTTCCATGTTGATAATTGTCGACGGTTCTCAGGCTAACGGTTAGCCCCAACGGCTAAGTCCTGACGACAGGTGACAGTGACGACGATAAATGTCCGTTTGACTCTTGAAAATTAAGGTTTTCTCACAATATTAGTTTAGTTAATAAAAGTAAAGTTAATAGAAATACGTCTTAAAAAATACAACTTAAGTTTTAAAACGACGGTTCAAATGGACACAAATGTTTGTTTCCTGAAAACTGTTAAACTATTCAAAAGTTTAAAATACTCACGGATTTTCTTCAGACGAGATCCCGCTGTAACTGAGGGAAAATGCATTACACATTTAAATTTTTATTTCAGGACATATTCAACACCACAGTTTTAAAAAGGGTTTATGCTGATTGCGTACAAACAAACCTTTTTTGTGGTACAATATGACAAAATTATATTTTGTAAATTATAGCGAGTTAAAAGTTACGAACACGATCTCGCTGAAGTCTCGCGGTGACAGAACATTGAGCAGCGTCGCCATTTTATATTTATCATGGTGCGTTAACGTGTTAGATTGAATGTTTAACAATTATAAATAACCACATGTATTTTATTACCTCTTCTATGTAGGTTTTATTTATTTCTCACGACCAAATATTGTCTCAGCTCATATATAAGTGTGGTCTTGTGTAGTAATATCTTCATATTGCAGTATAATGTCGTACGTTTTATGGATTCTATTTATGAGTATTATAGGCTAATGCTAAATATGACATTCTAAGTATCTAAATAGAATAAAGTCAGTTTAATGTCAAAGATAAAGAAAACCTTCAACATCTACTGTAAATCTATATTTTGTGCTTTGCTAAAAATGTATAAAACATGAATATATTTTTCTGCACTTTGAAGGATTATAATAATAAGTATCAGATTATCTGTTGTTTTTAAGACAAAGCAGGAGAGAGAAGTTATTCTAATGTCCAGACTTCTCTAAGTAAAAAAAACAAAACAATATTAGATTAAGAGTGAAGAAAACCTGTGGCAACAGGGAATGGGGAGGTGGGAAGATCTTACCTGAGAAACCAGCCAATCAAAGGCAAAGGGGTGTTACCTGGGAAACAGATAAAGTCAGTGTGACGGATGACATTTTGACATAAGCCAAGGGCAAATAGTAAACAAAGAGGTAAAGAGGAGTAGCCTCGTACCTGGAAACCTCCAGATCCTCCTCTCTTTGACTCTGACCTGGGACTTTAAGGGCTGATCCCTAGAAGGTGAGAAGGAACTTTACCATGTCTTCATTTGAGAGCCAGGGCCAGTCTCCTCCTCGCTGTGGCCCCCAGTTCCCCAGTCTTGGACAGGAGCCTCCTGAGCTCAGCATGTACAGCGACTGCTACTACCCTCCTCCCTCACTGCCGAGTCCTCAGCGCACGACTCCGACCTCCTACGACCTCAGCGACTACGCGGCCTCCTCTCCAAACCCATACCTCTGGTTCAACGGCTCGGGGATCAATGCACCGCCGTACCTGGCTACCACCGGTCCCTCTGGAAACCCCGGTCCTCCTTTTGTCCCTCAGCACTATGGTATGCAGAGGTCTTACCTGGGCCCAGCCGGGGCAGGGGGGCACGGGGGAGAGATGGGCTGGTTTTCTTTGCCATCACAAGAAGATCTGATGAAACTGGTCCGGCCGCCGTACTCCTACTCTGCGTTGATTGCTATGGCCATCCATGGAGCACCTGACAAGAGACTGACCCTGAGTCAGATTTACCAGTATGTCGCTGACAATTTCCCATTTTACAACAAGAGTAAAGCGGGCTGGCAGAACTCCATCAGACACAACCTGTCACTCAACGACTGCTTCAAGAAAGTCCCAAGAGATGAGGACGATCCAGGTAATGTTTTTAAAAAATCAAATTATTTTTATTTACCAAGTTATGTATCTAGGTAGAATATTTATTTTCAAATGAATTAAATCTGCTTCTGTTTGTCTGAAACATTATCACAGGAAAAGGCAACTACTGGACACTGGACCCAAACTGTGAGAAGATGTTTGACAACGGAAACTTCCGCCGCAAAAGAAAGAGAAAGTCTGATTCCATCTCAGGTGGTGAGAACAGTTCCAGAGCTGCAGAGTCAGGTGACAGTGACAGAGGCAGCCCCAAGCCTCTAGGAAACCCTGCCATCAATATCTCACCCACGCACGACAGGATCCCGTCCCCGTCATCAGGTCCCACTCCGTGTCTAAGCAGCTTCCTGTCTGAGATGTCTGGAGTGACCTCGACATCGGCCAGTGAGGTGGGAGCTGATGTGTTGAACAGGCCGCTGCCGATCAACCTCCCTCTAGACGGGCCCAGACCTGCTCAGCACGGGAGCTTCAGTAATTACTCCCCCAACTCAGTCGGCCCAGAGTGGGTCGCACAAGTACCAGCGCCCCCTGTGCTCTCCTCTTCGCCGACCCACTCTTCTCTAGGCTACAGCAGTCCCATTCTCAGTCAGTACAGTGGCTCCAACGGGCATTTTTACCCCACACTGAGTTCTACAGGAATCATATATCAGCGGGAAGGCACAGAGGTTTAAGACGAGAGAATGAAAAAACTAGTTTGAAAAGACTTTTATATGAAACTGTAGTTGTTTGGTTACTTGGTGGTTTAGGAAAAGGTCTGTTGTGAAAAACAAAACAAAAAAACACACAGTGAGCCGCTGTGTGTGACAGCGGAGGAAGAAGACTCTGATTCTCACAGAAGCAGCTGAGTCGGCGGTCTCCGTCCCTGAGACTGCCGTCGGCCATGCTATCTGATCCACAGTCAGCTTTTATTCACTCTCAAACCCGTCTCTATCTAGATCTGACTCTGACTACGACCAGATTCTCTTGGTGATGTGCTGACATCAGGGCATTCCACGCTGGGTTTCTCACACAAATGTAACACTCAGACAGCACATTTAGCAGAGTGGATAAATAACACCGTCGTCGACAAACGGTGTGAGGGAGTGTTTTTATGGCTAAATGAAAAACAAACCAGGGGTTGGATCTTTGTAAATACATCCACGTGTTGTGTAACGTTAAACATTTATATTGTTGGTTTGTTGTTAATTCTTGATGTGTTTGTTTGATGTTTGATGACATTTTTGTTATGAATAAAATACTTTCCGACTTCACAACTGCAGTTTTATTTGTCTACTTTATTTCCTGAGAGAATCAACATTTATGACACCGTCAGGAACGTACACACACACACACACGTCCCTGCTGGACACACATCAACGTGTGCGTGTGGCTCCTTGTTGTCAGTTCGTTGACGACCCCTGGTAAACAATTACTGACAGAAAACAGTCCAACAGCAGTGACTACAGTAGTAGTGCAGAGGAACCAGACCTGGCTGTGAGTGATAGTTAACTGATTCTCTGAAACAGCAGAAAAACTCTCTTCACTCATCTAAACACTTCACTTCATCATCTCTGTCACACGATCCGAACACAGATACTGCTGAGAGGATGGAGGTGGGATATACTGGAGCGAAGAAAAAGAATTCACCTGCAGAGTGGAAACGTTTCAGAAAGAAAAACCTGGAGCAAAAATCAGGAAAGCTTTAACGTTAGATGAACACGTCACACTTCACTGCACCGAAACTCAGTCCTCGTTCTTTTTCACCTCCACTTCATTAAAAATGTGACACAATGTTTTTTACTAGGCTGAAAGAGCAGAAAAACTTTAACAAACAAAAAATATATAAGAACAAGAAACATTTCCCTTCACAAAAATTACATTCTTTCCAAAATATATTTCACACTTGTTATTTACTGTTATATTTACTGTTAGCCCAATACGTGTGTTAATTTCATTTGACCAGACTAAAATCCCAAACACATTTTGTTTGACAGTTTTCACATAAAAACTGAAGAAAAAAATGTGATTATATTCAACAATACATTAAAATTGAAATGAACAAGAAAAAAAGACAAGTTTTAATAATTCAGTGCTTGGTACTTTCTCTATCAGTGTGACCTTCACCAACAGTGACCTGTTCCGTTCCGTTCTGTTCTGTTTTACAGTTATCCTTACCATGTTATTTAGATAAATATAAATGCTTGGATTGGTGTCAGCCTTAGGCCTTTATTTACCCTGAAACACAGGCAGCATGACAGCATTTACACAAAACACTGGGGGAAAAGGAAAGAAGGAACGAAGAGAAGAAAGAAAGGAAAAACAAGGGCTGAAAGAAAGTAAGAAAAAGGAAGTAGATAAAGAAAATAGTAGAGAAAAAATGAAGAAAAAAGAAAAGCTGTGGTGTGCCTCGACAGGCAGCAGGAAAATCTAATCTGTGTTAGTGTTTGGGGATTAGGAGGTCAACCTGAACACATTTGCATAACTGATTTCAAAACAAGTGATGAAGTCGGAGATCGAATGTCCTGCCTCATTAGCGGAGTCGGGGTGAAAGCAGCTGTCACATGACCTGCCGTGTCCCAGCAGCCCCGGCTGTCATCTGTCACTCTGCCAAGTCCATAAAAAGTTGGAGGGAAAAACACCGAGAGACGGTCGTCCTGGACAGTTCTATACACTTTCCTCTGATTGGTGCACAATGACATCACTGACACCTGTCACTCTGTCAAACCAGCACTGGCCCCCTGATGCCCCCNTACCCTCTGCTGTCTTGTTCACACAGTTTGAGGAGGATGCAAATTTGTAACTGTTGTTCACATGACTGATGGGAACGTCAAGGTTCAGGGGAGAATCCTGCTCCAGATGGAGAGCCACAGATAAGTCGGGGGAAAAACCTGAGGGATTTACTGCACAGAGAACGTCTTATTCTATAGTCCATCCAGGTCTGATCAAACACAGCCTCACCGTGAGCTTCAGTTCACGTCATGTACGTTGGAAAGGTAAGTAAACGTTCTGGTGATATCGCTAATATCAACAAGTAGTCCCACACTCACACACCCACGACGGTGATGATGGAGCCAAACACGGAGAACTAGCGCCAAAATGTAGCCTCCAAGAAAAACAGCAGCTGGTTTAAGGCTTAAAGGCACAGTTCAATAATGTGGTCTCCTGGAGCGACCTTGACCTTATGACATCACAGCTCTGTGACTGACTAAAACACACACACACACGCACACCTCGTTCATCAGTCTGCTGAAAGAACTGACATCTATCACTTATTGACACATCTCAACATCAACGTCAACATCAACGTCAACATCTTCATCGAACGTCTTCTCGTTTTCACTGGTGGTGAAATCCTTCCTCCGTCAGCTGACTGATGGTGGCTGCCCCGTGGTAAAAGCCAATATACATGTAATGTGGAGCACAGTGTGTGTGTGTGTGTGTGTGTGTGTGTGTAGGAAGAGCACAGCATCCATCAATCACATGTTACTGTAACTATAGCGCCTCCTTGCCCCCGGCAGTAGAATTATTGCTCAACAGAGTGATATGATTAAAACCTATAAATCCTCACCTCCACCTGCTGCCTGGCTCGTGGCAGTCTTCCACACACCTGTCGAACTAACGGAATGCGCCCACACACACACTCCAGAGAGAGTGTGTGTGTGTGTGTACGTGTTGGTGCAGAGCATAAAAGTGTATGATGTTTATAATATAAACTAAGACAGGGAACCTTTAGAGCAGAGACCTAATGCACGAGGCGAGTGTGTTTGAACCAACTGCCCTGATTGGGGGGGAGGGGGGACAATATATTTCCCCCCTGACCGTGTACTAGACAAAGTACTCTGAAGGCTCTGAGTAGTAGTAAATCTGATGGGGTTAAATGACGTTCTCTGCTCAGTGATGCACTCGTTCACCTCCCAGTACTGAGGGCTAACTGTTCTGGTACCAGATCAACCCAAAACACACACACACACACACGCGCCTTCTGAATTTACTAAAACAGTGGTGTCCTATCGAGGCTGTTTAGTAAACGGCAGCAGAGGACGTCCAGCCTGGAGACATGTTGTCATGCCCTCTGCTCCAGCCGTGCATTATGCTTGATGTGTAAACACGCAGACACACGCACGCAGAGGATGAAAGGGATGCAGCTTCAGCTCGCCTTTCGTCTGGAAGTCACTGGACTCCCCTCAGCTCTGCTGTTCTTCAGAAAGGTCAGAGGAACCTGCCGTCATCTGTGGTGGTGACGACTGCTGACGGTCACAAATCACCACACACACACACACACACACACCAAAGTCTCACGTTCAAATAAACTCCAAAGAAACCCACTCTTGTCGACTAAGAGGTTTTTTTAGTCCCAGTCTTTGAAAAAAAAAACCAAACTGTGCGAAGTCTAAAAATACGGTGACGTGGTCCAACACGTGGCCCCGGAAACAAAATCCAGAAGTACAAGTCCCAGTTTGTCAGGGTCCGTTGGAGGGTCCCTGAGTGAGGACCAGAGACGGCGTCCTCCTCTGAGGCGTGCTGCTGCGTTCTGGAGTCTCACACTGATGTCCCACCACAGACATGGCTTATATACAGATTTGGAGAAAAGTGAAGTTTAAAGACAAACACAGAGCGCAGTACGAGTGTGTATATATGAATCATTGTTATTTCACCCTAAAATATTTTCCATGTCAACACACAGTAAACATGGTGATATGAACACAGGGTTTTCCAATGAGGGAGGGAGAGGAAGAGGAGAAGGAGTAAAGGGGGGGGGGGAGTATCCTGTCCCACACTCACTGGACTGTTTCAGGGGCAGGGGGTGAGGTGAGGGTGAGGGTGAGGTGAGGGTGAGGGTGCCGTATACTCCCCTTTACTACTGACTGCTACACAGCTATGGATAAATTAGTTGTGATTAGGAGTTGTGTGAATGGACGGGGGTGAGGGAGGGGTGTGACCCACGGGTGAGACCCAGTCAGTGCTCACCTTCATGTGGTCCAAACTATGACTCCAGTAAATCCTGGCCGTCATCAGCCTCCTCATCTGTTTTGCCAACAACCAACAACCAGTCATCCATGGATTCAACGGAGGGGTGACAGGTTGGTGGGAGGAGGAGGGGGTGAGGGGGGGGAGGGTGGAACAGGAGTCAGCCCTGACCACTCTCTCACCCTATAATACACACAAGTATACAGGTCACATGACCTCGCTGTCAGTACATGCTAACGTAGCTAATCAGCTAATCAGTAGCTAATCAGTACGTCCACAGTACAGTAGTGTGTACTGTGTTGGTCAACACATTTACCACAACTGCCACCTTTTTTATATTTTTTATATATTATATTTAGTACTGAGTATCTAAAGATTATTTCCAACAGTAGGTTACCCCCCCCCCCCACAAAAGGCTTCAGGGCCACACACCAGCACAGTCAGTATGAGTCATGTGACCTAAGGTGACATCGACTAATTCCTATTTTCATTTACATTTCTCTGGCCTCCTTTTCATAAACTGCATGTCTCTGCAAGTGTCTGCATGGGGGTGGGAAGGAGGGGTGAGGAACGAGGTGAGGGGGTGGTTAAGGGGGTTTACACACTAAGTCTGCATCAACAGTGCACGTGCCAGATCCGTATTTTGGTGGTGACACGGTCCATTTGCAGCAGCTGTCCTACAGTTGAAGAACATCTTTCTGGAAACGTCTTTTCTTAAGTTCCAGCCACTCAATTTAAAACAATAAAAAAAACCACAACACTTAAAGACGACAATCACCAACAAACCACCAACACCAGACACACGTCACTGTGTAAAAACCATAACTACACACGTGAGTGAGGTGAGCAGGTGTGTCCTGCTGTAGGTGCAGCATTTACTAAGGTAAGAGTCCATCTAGTGGTCACAGGGAGAAACTGTCAAGACTTCACATTTGCAGCGTTCAGTCTCATTAATGCAACAAACACGGTGATGTTTCCCAGAGTGCACTGCGTCAGAGTCGTACCCTGTTTCCCCCTCTGCCCTCATAATCAATCCACTGTACGTCATCAATGACGGCCAATTATTGGATGAACAGACAAGCAGGGAGGTCATGTGACCAAGGATCCATAAGTTTGTTTGTTTGGTTTTTAAAATGGACGCTCTCAAAAATGCTGTTAGTGAAAAGACTGATGCTAGGCTAACGCTTTCATTACGCAAACACGTTTGGTTAAAAACCCACAGAAATATTTCCATATAACTGAGGCCCAGGAAGGCTGCCTGTGGCTGGGTAACTGTGACTCCCTGGGAGGGTGAGAGAGGGAGAGAGGGAGAGAGAAAATAATAAGATAGTGTCAGAAAAATGTAATGGGGGAGGAGGGGGAGCTGAAGGGGGGAGGAAAATGTGTACTGAGAAGAGGAGCCATCTGGAGGAACAGAGATGGAACACAGTCAATGACTTGACTCTCACAGGGTGGTCATTAAAACTGAACATTTCTCTCCTGTTCAACTATTGACTTGTGGCCGACTGTGGAACTGCAGCACAAGCAGATTCAACGGAAGTTCGATCAGAAATCTACAAATAATAGTTTAATAGATGATATAAAAACAGTTCACCAGCCAATCACAGGGTCACAAACAACCAGTGAACAATCTAACCAGTGACCTTCCTGCTGTAAGGCAAAGGCATTAAACACCCTCCCACTGCATTACCCAGAGAAGGTGAAAACATTTTCAGTGAGAAGTCACTGGTTCATCTAACATTGAGACTTTATAGGAACAACATTCTGCTGCTGGTACTTTTCTTATCTGCGTGGTACCGTTTCAGTCTAACGTCAGAGTATTGTTTTTATTCTTAGTTGAGCAAAAAGCACTTTTAACAACCGCTCCTTGCGATGGCCATTACTGTTACCTTGGTAACCAACCTCATCCATCCATCCATCTGTTCCTGTAATTAAATGCTGAATAGAAATATAAAAGTACGGTGGCCACAAAGACACATTAATTAGCAGTTCAGTTGAAATCCTCCAGGTGGGGACAACACCACCCAAGAAGAACTTTGTGTCTAATTGTTGTCAGCGCAGACACAGAGACGTGCGACTGCCGTCAGCCTCCTGATCCCTCCACTCCCACTGGGCCTTTCAACAGTTCCTGACTAAATCAACGGCTGCTCACTGATTGGTGCTTCTGCAGCCGGAGGTAAACCATTGGCTGGTGTGTGTGTGTGAGGAGGAATTTTCCACAGAACAGAGTTTATCCTACAGTTGCCACAGGTTAAATCTACTGCATATTCAACAGCATCAGTGAGTGAAATACTAGGCCCTTTAAGAACACTGGACTAGTACAGGTGGAGTAGATGACTAGTACAGACGTACTAGAAGTAATTTGTGAATCTGAGCTATAGAAATAAAACTGACTTTACTTGATTTGACTAGTACTGGACTAGTACTGGACTAGTAGTGGACTAGTACTGGACTAGTCCTGGACTAGTACTGGACTACACAGGACTCGTGCATTAAGAGTACATACATGACTAGTACAGGAGGAGTACTGAACTGCAGTCTGTAGTTACAGTTAGTGGATCATTACTGTCTGATAAACTGGTCAATATTTGAGTTTTATGAATTTTAAATTCTGACATGTACAGCTGGTAAAAAATAAAACTGTAAAAAAAAAGAGTTAAAAAATGAATGGATGTTAAAGAAGTTGTATTCTATTTTATTACAGTACCAATGCAGTACTGATGGAGTACTGATGAAGTACTGATGAAGTACTGATGACAGCTCTAATGACCTGAGGTGGCGAGGTCTTAAAGTGCTACACTGTGACACTGATACTATTATTGTATCAACATTAAATTTGCCTAGAACTAAATGTATGGTTTTAGTCCCTGAGGATGAAAGGATGGAGGCAGCACACACACACACACACACACACGTGGAGACCAACAGTAACAGACTGTTGAAGTCATGCAAATTCCCTGTGCTCTGGCAGCTACAGTGCACATCAAAGTGCACGACTGACTCAGCTGCTGTTTTTAACGAAGGAACTCTGAAAATGTCGCTTTGTTCCACCGGGAGTCACAGCATCGAAAACCTCAGGAGAAGAAATGCCCCCCTCATCCCCCCCCACGGCCCCCAGGACTGTCTTTTTAATTAGGGGATCTCTCTGATGCACCAGCAGCAGTGGTGTGGGTTCTATTCCCGGTCCCAAACAGAATGTTCTTCTCTGCCTTATGAACACTGTCTTCAAATGGTTCTGGTTCTACCAGAGGATTTCTGCCGCTCCAGGGACCAGGTGACCAGTGTTCAGTCACACAGTAACTACAGAGAGATCTTGGCAGAGCATGTTATTAAAAAGTTGACTACTTTGAAAAGAGAATTTAAATTTCTTCTCCAGAGACAAAAAAGAAGTGCCCACGGCTGGGCTGCAGGGGGAGCTGGAGGGCACAGAAAGAGTTGAGATGAAAAAACATATTCAAAATCTTAAAAAGGCAAGACAGCCTTTTAAAGACAACAGGAGTCACAGAGGTGACCAGGAGAACCAGGTTCCACAGGTTCTACCAGAGCCCGTCCAGGACCAGTTTAGTCAGGACTAAAGACACCAACTCTATGAAGAGACATTTCCACTCAGAAACACTGACCTCTAGCTGCTGTGGACGTATCTGAATCAGAAACATAAATCACTGCTGAGTGTCTTTAACAACTGTGGCTCAGACTGTCAGGACCAGGACCAGGACCAGGACTTGGACCAGGACTTCATCATCTGGTCTACTGTGGACTATTTAATCTGACTGATCAGATCAAACCTCCAAACTGTTTGATAATCCCAGTTTATTCAAGGCTCCAAACGGAGCAGAACAACTGGAAATGTTCAAGTTAAAGCTGAGAAGAATCTTCAGGTTCAGTTTCTACTGTTTAATCTAAAAATGTTCTTTAGACTTCAAATTAAAACCAATTACATGACGGATGAAGAGACATACAGTGTTTGACCACCAGGGGGTTACACCTGGACAGAAACACATCAACTAGTTAGTGACCAATTACCTCCACCTGTTCATGTTGGGGAATTTGGTTTCAGCTGCTGGAGAGCCCACAGTGGAGTCTCATTAGACCTTATTAGGCAA